CCGTACTGCGTTGATCTCGAGAAAATCCGAAGTGGCGTGGCAGATGCGTACAGCTCTTCATCCTCTGACTATGCACCCATTCTCATGGATCATCCGGAGCCAATGAATTTCCAGTCGATTACGCTGTCTCCTGTGATCCCACTTGGCTAGGCACATACTATTATATCGACCTCGATGACGAGAACATGGCCATAAGTCCTGCCCCTGCACTAGTAAGACCGAGCGTTTAGATAACGTACTAAAACTCTTCATGTCGCTAGCTTTTTTCATTGAGATATTAAGAGAATCACAGCGCCTGGGCGTAGCTGTTCATGGCGATGGCCATGTCAATATCGTTCTGGGACAAACCGCCGCAGTCGTGGGTGCTGAGCGTCACGTCCACACGGTTGTACACGTTAAACCACTCCGGGTGGTGGCCCATTTGCTCGGCTAGCAGCGCTGTTCGGTTCATGAAGCCCCAGGCCTCGTTGAAGTCACGGAACTCGAATTTGCGGCGAATGGCGTCACGGTGAGGCACCTCTTCCCAGGCGCTGGTGATCTGCTGGAAAGCAGCGGTACGTTGTTCCTCCGTCAGAAGCGTCGGAATGGCGCGTGTAGACATTCCACGGTGAAGCAGCGGCTTTGTGGGGAGCTTACGGAGCATGTGGAGAGTCATGCTTGTCAAACGGTGTTTTCAATAATGGCGGATATTGACACCGGAATGACGAGTTTTGACCAATGAAATTAGTGTTTGGACGCGTCGTTTGGCGGCGTCCAAACTTGGTGTAACGTTAGTGTAAAACTTGCTTAATTGCCGGAAGATAAGGTTGCGAATACATGTACTGAGGTGAAGACATGCAAGAGGATACGTGTCAATGATTACAGAGTGAAGACAGTGTTTCCATTCTGTCATGAGAGTCTAATTCTTGCGGTTCTTGCGCTTAAAAGCCTTAAGTTCCTTGCGGTAGGCGTCGCCGATCTGCGTCGACACCTTGCGCAAGTCCGTGAGACCGGAGCGCAGCGCTTCATCGGCAAGTGCGCCTGCAATACAACAGCAACAACAGCAGTGAGTCATTGCACCACTCAAATGGCGAGAGCTGCAGACTGCAGCTATACCTTGACGAGTCTGAAGACGGATGTGCATCTTGGGCTCTGACGGGTGCGGAATTGTGTAGCCACAGAAGTCAGCATACGGTACTCGTCGGAGAAACGCCCGAGTAGCAGTACGACTTGCCGAGTCTCATCCAGAAGGGCCAAGCTACTCATAATGACGTTACTAAAGGAGCATTTTGGCATTCGGCCTAGTCCTTCGCAGTCTCACAGAGTTCAGTCTGTGTCTAGTCCGTTCACCCTGTTGCAATAACAGCCGTAGCGGGAGACACAGTCTCCGCAGCAATAGCAGTCATAATAGAAGCCGCAGACTCTGTAGTAGTAGTAGCAATAGTAGTAGTAGTATCGCCTAACGAGACCACTGGCAACACTTTCATCGCTTGCCGAAAGCGAGGGAGCTTTACCACCCCAAGTGCTACGTAGTAAGCGCGCGTAGACGCAGCAATCCGTGCGGGGTGCCCGCGAAGCAGGGCCGTGCGGTATTTGCGAAGTTGGGCCCAGCGCCAAGCTCTCCATCGATCCGCGCATTACACTATCTAGTACATTCAATCTTTATATCACGATCAAAGCGAGCCACGGAGCTTGGGGTGCCCGGCCATGCGAAGCGCGACTGGTAACGATTTCGCATTTGCTCTGTTATTAATATTTGGTGTTTTATTATTATTTTAGTTCCAATTTGAATAAGTGTACCTAAAGTAAGAACATTTTGTAAGACATATTACGGCATTTTGTAATTGCTTCGGATTTTATCTGGCTAAAATAAAAAAATTCGAGTTTAATAAAACAAAAAACACTCCGCAACATAAGTTCTGTGACACCTATACCTTTGGCTGTATCTCGGCTTCTGGGTCGAGTTAGACGACGCTATTTAGATATGTATCACCTATCAGATAGCGCGAAAGGGGGCTTGGGACGCCGATCTAGATTTCGTAGAACTTCTATAGGCTGGCATACAACTATCTAGAATTTGCACTGCGACAAAACTTTCGGACAAAAAATGACATGATTATAATGTAGCTGGTAGTGTGTCTTGTCGCCATTCGTGCGGGTTACCTCAAAGCAACGAAAAGGCATGGAGGCCACCAGTTCCAGCAGCGCTTTCATCGTCACTGAATCCCACGCCTCCATGACAGCAGCAGTGAGTTTAGCTACAGAGCTGTACTGCTTTCCATGACTATAGACCTTCCTAGCCAAAATTGCCCACACGTTCTCAGTCGGATTGAGATCGGGTGAGCGAGCTGGCCAGTCAAGCAGCGGCACCCCAGTTTCCGTGAAAACCTCGGTCGTTGCGTACGAGGCATGGATAGAAGCGTTGTCCTGCATAAATACAAAATCCGTGCCGTAGTTCTTGTGGGCAAATGGGAGCCTATTCTCCGACATCGTATAGATGTAGTGGCCAGAGTTCTGGCGCCCATCCAGAACCACCAACTCCGACTTGTCTTTAACCCCGAATGCTCCCAGACCATTAGTGAGCCTCCCCCATTTTGGCGAGACATGGAACGACGGGAAGGACGTCGCACGTCACGCCAATAGTGCATATGGGCCGTCGAGATTAAACTTTTTTCATCTGAGAAGATGATCATGGGCCAAACCTCTTCCTTCTGCGCAGCCGTCGAGAGCCTCTCGGCAAACTCTAGGCGCGCCTCCTTGTGCTCCTTTGTTAGAGGTAGCGTATGATCCATTTTAGAGTAGACTAGATAGTCTACCCGAGACAGAAGTCTCTGGATCGTACGCACCGAGCATGCCAAGCGGTACGTGACCTTCAACCCGGACGCCGATAGTCTCCTGCTGCGGCACTGCGGACGCCCTGGCGGACTTGGCGGTCTGTCAGGCTTGCCAGACGCCTCCCTTTCTTGGCTTTAGTGGTAGGTGCCCTCAGGGCGTAGCTGACGCCATTCACCGACCGCTCAAGCCGTTGAGCGATCGGGCGGACATTCAAGCCTGCCTCGTGGAGGCCCTTCATGCGGCCACGTTCTTCATCAGTGATGCTTAGTCCTTGTCCCATTATAGAAATAGGATAATAAGGCCAGTTTTGGGGGGGGCATAGTTTCAATAATGAAATCATGTCATTTTTTGTCCGAAAGTTTTGTCGCAGTGCAAATTCTAGATAGTTGTATGCCAGCCTGTAGAAGCTCTACGAAATCTAAATCGGCGTCACAAGCCCCCTTTCGCGCTATCTGATAGGTGGAACATATCTAAATAGCGTCGTCCAACCCGACCTAGAAGCCTAGATACAGCCGAAAGTATAGGTGTCACAAAACTTATGTCGCGGAGTGTAGTATTTAGTAGACACCTTTGGAAGCCCATGTTTTTTTGTGGGTTGTGAAATAGCTGTATTCCACATCCCACAAATCATAAACAACTTCTCTATTTGTTTCGAATTGGCTAGTGTGCTGGATGTGGGATGTGCCTACTCGCTTACTGTTATTAAGTTTTGGTAAAAATATATATCTATCTAGAGAGAGAACAATCTTTTCCCATGAGGGCTTAGAACCCGATCCCGGGCCCAATGCTCAGCACGGCACCGCCCTCCCCATACGAGAGTAATACATGTAGCTTACCCTCAATAATTGATGTGTTCGAGCCTACTTAGCACTCAATCATTGAGGCTCAACCAGAGACGATCGCTGCCACGATTCGTGCCCCCCCCCCCCGCCTTAAACGTCCACACCCTCGTCCACGAACCTTGGTGTACGCTGCTGTCTCACTACCTTCATAAGCCGTGCTACACGACCCCAGTTTAGGCTTAAAATCGAAGTGCTTCGGCTTGCCGCCTCTTCGCGGCAGTGCTTCCTTGGTCATGCCCCAAGACGCAAAGTTCTTAAAGCACTGCTATTGTCTATATTTTTAACATACTAAATATCACATCGTATTAACTAAAACAGGTTCCTGTATTCAATAACGCTGTTGGATACAGAGGTCGTTTTGACGATTTACAGGAAGCTCTGTCGGATAGGATTTTGGCGATTACAAATCGACATGAAAAAGGTCGATCTATGTACAGGTATTAAACAACCAACAAAGCGCATGGGCTTCGAAGTGTCTCTAATGTGGTGGAGTTGGAAATTTGATCCGATGCTCAGTGCCAATGTTATAGGTGTGCCACATCATTGCACGCTTAAACGAACTCCTATTAGGCTGTCAGTAATACGTGATCGACGATCACTTTTTTTTCTGGCTACAATATCAGTGATCGCACACAAAGTATAAGTGATAACTTAGAAATTGTATGAGCACCTTGTGTTATAGCCCACAACCATGTAATATGCTTTAAAAAAGAGTATCTTCAAAGATAGAGCAATATCCAAAAGTGATAGGACACAGTGAATAGGCTGTCAGATGCAAAAATAACACAAGTACACGTGTCAAAAGCGCTAAATACTCAACATTACGGGAAAAGTGGGATGGCACGCTACAAGAGCAAGCCCCTAAAAGACAGACGCGTTTGTCGATTAATGCCATTTTGTAATAAATGGAGGGGCACTCTTTGGCGTATAAGGTAGGGAACTCCTCTCGCTAACACACACTGCGCAGCCTCAAATTGATTTATGTCGACTATAGCCTTGGAGGCGTGCATACTGGAACAGCGTATAGTGGCGCCTATGAGCTCACGCGGCGTAGTTTACGGCATGTACATGTGTACTAAGGCTACAAAAATAATTTGCGCGGTGGGACCGTGGAAAGGAGCAGTCTTCCAGACCAATTATGGTGGCCGCATCGCGTGTACGTCACAGGAAGCAGCTAGAGAATTGGAATCGTGTTACACCTTTTACGAAGCTATAAAATTCTTCACATTTGAAATGTAAGGGACTTCTGAAGTGCATGTTATCACAGATTAACTTTAACATCTTTAGAATTCATTTATCTGCTAAAGATATAATTATGATTTGAGCGAGGCTGTCATGTTCTATCATCGGAAAATTATTTCTTTTAAGAGCTCACAGCCGCATACCCACCTGCTGCAGCCTGACTTCGGGCTCTATTCGTCTCCGTGGCAGTGCGTGAGCTACTGCGGCTGCTCTTTCTTTTTAATTGTATACGGCATCGTCTTGTCTACCAGGCTTCTCGTCACTCTACACTTTTTACATCTAACAGGATCACAAAGAACACGGCAAGGTGAGGAGCGGACACATTTAAAAGCGGCTCCACATGCCTCACCGGGACGGCGTGGGCACATAATGCAGCCAAGTGTGCTACGGATAACCTCTAGATCCGTGCCGTTGTTATTGCGCAAAGTGGCGAAAAGAACGACGGGTGTGCTACGGAGGCCTACGTGCCAAAACGGTTCATGTCTTTTTATTTTAATAGAGTGGTGTGTGGTATGACGGCCACAAAAACTAGGCATCATTTCGTCGTTCCGTGTGTTAAATACGAAACGTTTATTTCTTAGGGGCTGCAGAATGGCGAGTATCACTTGCATGCTGTAAGTCACAACAAAGTGTGAAGCTGTAGTCTTCAAGATACTCGTATTATTACGTAATAGAAGACGCAGATGTAAAACAAACAAAAAGGTTTGGTAGACTACCTATGCTATAAGTTTAATAAAAAAAGTTAAGTGATCGATGC